TCTAGCAAACCTGTCCGCTGCATACTCGATGGAATGTTCATCAGAGACGAAAAATGGCCCCTAGACATGTTAAGGTGCTTGCTCGCAGACAAAGAATTACAATATCGGTCACATTGGCAAGGGATTTTCAGGAAGGCCGTGTTTTTTTTTCAACGCAAGACTGTCATGGCCGGTCATGCAAAACGAACACATTGCTTTGCGACAGGTTCAAACCATATCGAATATATGTGTCTGCGTTATAACTATTATAATGATTTGGCTGTATCTTCCCGATTCTAAGAAGGCATATACATTATTTGACAATAATGATACCGTAGTTGTAACATAATTCAGTGTTTTGATATTCAGCGCCAAATATTCCATGCAGCATGGTGCTTAGAGAAAACTACAGAGTCATTGGCAGGAATAATGCAATGATTTCGAAATGAACAAACCTATTAGCGAACTCTTTTATAGCGCAATTTCCGACCACAGATGTAGGCTAAATGCTTGCATAGTTTCAAATTGCGTTTTTAGACAGACACCTGTATCCAGGCAGCTTCTTTTTGTTGAACGAACAGCAACGGTCTGGCACGATACGATAAAGAGCGCATCCTGGTTCCTCGTCATTGGCTCCTCGACAACCCAGCAGTGCCGGACAGCGCGTCTTCGTTACAACAAGGCAGACTTGAGACAGTCATTGCAATGCTAATTTTTCAACGGCGCATACATCTTACAATGGCATACGATTGTAAGTACGAATTATCTTCATATTCTACGTATACGATTCTACGTACGATACCGTGTGTAACTAACTAAATCTCATAAATGTAAGGAAAAAAAAAAAAAAAAAAAGGAAAAAAAAAAAAAAAAAAAAAGGAAAAAAAAAAAAAAGGAGGGGGGCTAGATGTGGCATCGCAGCGTCTTACGTACGATTAGCTGCAGGTTCAGGTCACCCCGATCGTTTGTGTGAGTTGGGTTTGAGCTTCGCGCCTTCGAAGGCAAAAGTTGGACGTGCAAATCCACTGGAGAAAGGCCCGGAATTTCTAACTGCGTTCTAGATTCAGGTCATTAATTGGTCAGTTGTTGCCATCACTGGGCTACAAGATCGAATCTACTACGCGCCTGCTCTAGTGCATTGATGATAATTTGCATCTCTCGATACATAAATCTACAATGTCCAACTTGTATTATATGCTTAGGACGGTATGTCCACCAAATATTTTGAAATAATTGTTTTATCACGCAATTTGAGAGATGTAGAAAATAATTAAGGCATATAGTCCAAATAAAACAGTATGATAAAAAGAATTTGGGATAAAGTCATTCGTCCTAAAAATGCGCAAGTGTTATGGCAGTAGCTGTACGAAACTAAATGCATCACTTATAATACGAATATTCATGACTTGTTAGACGGCACATTTTTAGTGGCAAATTTTTTTATTTGGAATTTGGATAAAGCCTATTTCGTCTAAAAATGCGCAAGTGTTATGCAGTAGCTGTAACGAACCCTTCAAAATTCATGGACTTGTTAGACCGAAACATTTTAGTGGCAATTTTTGTATTTTATTACAATTTTAGGACACTTTAAGAGTAAAAAATGGTTTGCAGTTTGTTCTACGTAAGTTATTGCT